AGCAAACACAAACGTTTGAATATGTGTTCTTTTCTCTCAAGTGTATTAATTTGGAAATTTTTTTTCAGGAAACATGTGCTGTCTTGCTGGAGCAGTGTCTGCAATGTGTAGAATCTAAATTTTCAAACAACACAACAGATGAAGCTACTGGAAACATGACTGTTGGCTTCGCCCCTCTCTATCCACCCTCTTCCCCCGTGCTTTCCAGCTTGGGCCTAGTGATTGATGGAAGGACTCTAGCTTATGCCCTGGACCCTACACTAGAAGATAAGTTTCTTGCACTGGCCAAGCGATGCCGTTCAGTATTGTGTTGTCGCTCTACCCCACTCCAAAAGAGCATGGTTGTGAAACTGGTCAGAGACAAGCTCAAAGCAATGACCTTGGCAATAGGTAAATATCTCCATTTAAACTAGTCTTCCTTGATGTGTGCTGTGCCTTGAGAATTTTGGTTTGTTCAACTTGCAATAGGACCCTTCCAGCTGCCTCACAACTCAAATAGCCTTGCAGTTTTGTCTGAAAATGGTGCACAACTCCAACTTATGTACTCTAACGTATTTATTCAAAGCCAAGATACAACGCTGGTGTAATATTTGAGACTTATTCCTACAGAAATTAGGTAATTGGGACCCAGGTATGTTAGGAGGTTCTGACATGTCTGAACACAGCTGTGAAGAGCTGGGTTGGCTGATGCTGTGCAGAACACCATTTTGTAGTCCGTACATTACACAAAACAACATCAGGTTCAGTGTTGTATCATCCAATCATGTTTAAACTCAGCATTCTGCATTTTTCATCACAAGTCAGCCATACAGCATAGGATATGAGTTGGCCTTGTCAGAACAGAGAATGGATTCATGATTGGTGTCGTGCCAACACTTATGCTTCTTCCCAGCTAATCACTCAGTTGGCAAAGGGGAGATTTTGTCAGTCACCCTGCTTTAAATCTGGCAGCATCTTCCATGTTTGCGTGGTTTTTACATAAGAAAAATCAGCCAGCTCTTCCTTCCTTTTCTCAAGTTCAGGCTTGTGTTGCATTAGAAGATAGGATTGGAGTGTATATGGTCACAAACACACTCGCCTTCCTCTGCACATGTTGGTTAATCGTAGCAGCAACACATGTGGATTGGACCTACCCGTGGGAAGCCCTCGGTACATATAATAATTGCCAGACTCATGTGACTTCCAAATCACCAAGTGTGTGCTGATTATAATAAACCTCAGGCTCATTGTGTTATATGTAGCTCAAATATGCCTTCCTCATACTGAATCTATATCTTTGGCTGACTGACTATAGACATAACCATTTGCATGTGTTGTCAGAAACTTCTTGAATTATCCAGAATGCTTAAAAACAGTAGTGGAGACTGGGCAGCTTGTGTTTTCATTCTCTCTGGGCATCTTGAGCCTGTGAGTTCAACCCAAGCTCCTGCTCTGGCCTAAAAGCCTAGCTGTATACATCCTCCCTTTTAACCAATATGAGCTAACTTGGGCTTGTGTCACAAAGACATCAGCTTTCTCAGGTGAGCAGATACCATGCTTCTATGGGCCCACAGCAGGGAAACTGGAGTGAGATGTGAGCATACGCCTCAGCCAAACCAAGTGTCTTGTCATCAGCTAATACAGTTTCATTTTCCACTGGCACACTGGCTGTATATTTAAGAGGTTAAGAAGTAGATATATGTCCCACTCTGGTTTCCTTTCCGTAGCACCTATCTCTTGTGGTGTCATGATTGGAAGCAGAGCAAGAGATGATGACTGTGCAACCATTGCGGTTAAATCTATCTGTGATGGGTGTATTAAAGATATCAGACTGCTCAACTCAAGTCAAGAATTCATCTACTTTTTAACTTTAATGTATTTTGTGCTGCGTAGACGTTCTCACTGAAGTATTGGGAAGCTAATTCTCAGCCTTACAGTGTTCTAGTACTTGTGCAGTTCAGGCCAGATACTTGAATTTTAAGTCTTAACAAAAAGAGAGTGATTTGTTTCATTTTTACTTTTCTGTGATTAAAAAAAATAAAAAGTCTACAAAGATCAGAATGCCTTGACAGCTTTGCTGGGCTTTGTACCTTACATTCCAAAGATGGATCCTCTCCTACCCCACATCTCCCTTACAGTACTCAGCCAACACTTGGTAACAACTGATTTTGCTTTGCTTTGTTGCTGCTAACTGTTCCCAGACCACTAGTACCAATGAAACTGTATCTTGTCCTCTTTAGGTGATGGTGCTAATGATGTCAGCATGATCCAAGTGGCAGATGTTGGCGTGGGGATCTCTGGTCAAGAAGGCATGCAGGTAATGTTGCTCATTCACTGAAAAGCACTCCCATGAAAGGGTGAAATAGGCACTTCCCATGTGTCAGCTTGACCAAGGTGCCTTTGGGTAGCCAGCAGAAATAAAGGAAAAGCAGCAAGTTGTGCTCAGGAGTGACAGTTCTGTATCACAAGGGTGCTTTCAGCTTGAGATAGAGCTTGTGTTTGTTCTCAGATCTCTTGTCTCAGAGTTTAAACATGCTAGTTACCTTCTTAGAAAAGTCAACTTAGTAGATCCCTCTAAGCAATATATTTTAAGAAATCATTTATTAAGTACTGGTTTAAAGGAGGAAAAAAGCTCAGATCCGCATTATTTGGGAAATAAAGGTTCACCTTATTCTGGCTTTTGTTATCCTCTCTCCTGTATTGGTTGGGGATACTTCTCCTGTGGAGTAGCTGCACAAGCCCATCCAGCTGATGCAGCTTATTTGCGTGCTGTGGCAGTGACCCTTAGCCCACCCACACATCTTGCTCACTCAGCCTATTCAAACAGCAGAACAGTGAAGAAAGAGAAAATTGGAGCCACTTGCAGAACCACTGCTCCCTACACACTATTCCAAGTCTTGGTTTTCTCCCCATTTCCTGCCACAGGGAACAGCAAGATAAGGGAGCTTGCCCTGTAGTCTTTTGGATGTGTTCAGCCTGTGATTACTGTATTTTCCACTGTGTAAGAGGCACTTCTCCCATCCCCAGAAGGGAGGATGTACATGTATAGCAGGACAGTTCAGCTGCAGTGTTAGAACGTGGCAGCAAGACACAGAGAATGAGGAAGGTACCTCATTTCCACAACCTACCTTGTATCTGGGCTGGCTGCAGGCTGACTGCATGAGAAAATATGAGTAGCTGAGTATATGTCAAACTGCTCTTCAGAGAAGATGGGAAGTTTTTACATTCTGAGGACCTGGGAAAATGAGCATGCTCTTTAACTTAGTTATCAGTGGGTGGTTTTCTGACCTATATTGCATTTTTTGCAACACTGGCTGGATGTTTTGCTCAAAAGGGAAGAAATTCCTCCTTCACACAGTGTGCAGGTTGGCTAGAGAATTTTATTTCCTGGGATTTCATGGATGCTGTTATTTTTTTTGGCCAACTCACAAATTTGTGAAACAAAAATTTATCTGAGCTATGAACTTGGATGTCCACCCTATGCATTTTCTGACATGCAGACCACCAGGACCACACTCTGGAGAAAAGTCAGTCGATGTTTTTTGTATTTATTCATATACTCTTCCAAAGGCATCCTCTTTTGGCCATTGTTGGAGGCTGGATACTAGGGAAGATGGGCTTCAGCCTGACCTAGCAGAGCTGTTACAATTGTCACTTCTTGTGATCGTCCAATGGGTTCAGTCAAAATAATCTCTGGGACAAATAGATGTCCATCAGCACTCTTCAAACAGACAGATTTCAGGCCAGCAAGCTATTAAAAATGCTTCTCCAAACATGTTAGCAGGTGTAAATTAGGCTGGAAAAAAGCTACCACAAAAAAAATATTCAGATATTCATTGTGAATCCTGGCCATACACCTTATGAGTCTGACTGATGGCCAGAGGGGCAGGAGAAGATAAAGTCTTGGATTAAGCTGATACCAAGTATATTTGTTATTCTACAGCCTTGAACAGGGTCTGAGAGCTTTGCACAACTTCTGCAGTATCACTGAAGGCAGTCCAGACTCCAGAGAACCCAGAGGAAACTGGTTTTATGGGGTACCCTCCAAGCCTATCAATTCAAAAAAGTCTGCCCCAAACTCCATCTCTTACAAACTTATCAGCTCCTATCATCTGTGTATTAATTCAGATCACTTCTTTTTTCCTAATGCAGACATACAGTGCTCATAACATTTTTTTTTACTCCTTTCCCCCTTATGCCACTCTCAGTTGAGCTCATACACTTACAATAACTAGTCCTCAAATGCCCCTGGCTTTTGCAGTGCTTTCAAATCTGAAAGCTATTTGCTCATTAACCCATTAAACTACCTGTTTTTTTCTAAAGGAAAGTCAACAGAGTGGAAAATGTTTATAGATCCCTTCCTTTACTGCAAGGTCCTAAGGAACCATGCAGGCCTCTTTACTATAAACAACTGTCAGAATCTTACACATGCAGGGACTCAGAAGGCATTGGGCATTTAGATGTCTAAACCAGCAATACTCTCTGATTTATTTTCTTTCCACATTCTATGGAAGCATGTGGAGCATGAATCACTTTTTCCTGTGAAAAAGCTGGAAGAAAAAATAAAAATGTGAAAATCAAGGGGATATTTTGAGACGAGATAAACATGCAAATGTATTTGGATAACACTGTCTTCTTCACTACGTTCCTCACTGTAATCAAAATGGAATAAAAAAGAAAAACACTCCGACACTTCTCACAATGTGTTGTGAAGTTCTGTTTAGAAGCACAAATGAAAAGAAGCAAATGGCTTTGTTTTAACATTGCAATAGGCTGAGATGAGGCTGAAATGGAGTGGGGGACAGGGAAGGAGACCCAGCACATCTCTGTTCTCCTCAGACTGCAAGACATCTGTATGTCCACAAACCAAATCAGGTTGTTCTGTGCAGGGAGGTTATAGCAAGTGTATCTCAGTACCTGAGAAATCTCAGGATGTGTCAACATATTAAAAAATGTCCCAGTGCTCATATACATCTCCTGCTTAATTTACAAGGCATTATTATACCTTCTCTTGCATACTGTTTTAGAGTTCATTTTAATAGCTTGTACAAGCACTTGCTTAGGAAAATTGAGCCCTTCGGATGATTTACCCAGAAAGGGGTTTGGGAAGAAATTAAATGAAAGATGTCTCTCATTTAAAAATACAGCCAAAATATACCCTGTGGAGTGTGAGAAGACATTGCTCCTTTGGAGGTTTTCACCTTTCTTCATGCTTTTGCTGAGCAGTGAGAAGAAAGGTGATACCAAAATAGAAAATGAAATGTAAAATAGCATTAAATGCAATCTTAGTGTGATCCTAGGGATAAGGAAAATCGTGAAACAACTGTGATGACACCATCATTTACAAGGTCTCATCTAGATATACCGTACCCTGAATTTTAGTCAGAATTAGAGAGAAACTGGGTGATTCATTTTGTCAGTATGATCTGGCAGTCTGCACAGTGCCAGAGGAGTCTCATCTAATGTGAGTTTTTCACAGATAGTTTTAGAAAACTTGCAATTTGAAAAATCCCCCAACATACTGATACCTCAGGACAGCCGGGGAAACTTGATAAGCCGGAATTGCAAATGTAATTAAAACTAATGTTTTTCTTGTTTTGTCTTTTAAAGTCCAGTAATTATGATGCAGCCACTTAATTGTGCTTTTCTTATTTTATTCTCTGGAAATCCATTTTGCGCTGTAAGTACCCCATAGTTCTTACAGAGGAGGATGTTACAGCCACAGAGATGTTCACACGCAGGCCCTGAGCCTTCAAGCTCATGCAGCTGCAACTACCAGCCATCCTCCCACCTCTCACTTCTTGCTGCTACTTAACACCATCTGTAAGGTGGACTGCCATCTCCTCTGGGTGAGGACCAGGTCGCCTTGTATGGGCTGCCAGGCTGGCTCACGGGTGTTCCAAACCAGTGCAGCAGTAGCTGCAGTTCAGATGCGCTGTAATTGATTTCATTCTTCATCAGTACCGCTCCCATTGGCTGTTTGAGAAGGTGACCAGATGCACTGCTGGGGTTGAAAGTGGTGCTTTACAATAATGATTCCACCTTTTCTTTCCTTAAAGGCGGTGATGGCAAGCGACTTTGCAATCCCCAGGTTCCGGCATTTGGAGAAGCTTTTGCTTGTCCATGGCCACTGGTGTTATTCCCGACTCGCCAACATGGTGCTGTATTTCTTCTACAAAAATGCAGTAAGTGTTTGACTTGGCAGCTTCATGCCACTACATGCTTCCAGAGTTTATTTTGTGCGAAGTGAGCATTAGGTCAGTCTTCAAATGGTTTATAAATAGGCTGCAAAGACATTTGCAGAGTTGAAAGACAGCTGGCTGCCATTTGCACAAATACAAGACCCACTCCGTGACAGCTACAGTGTGCTGCTGAATGTGCAAATTAGGTAACAGAAGTAACAAGCACTGCTTGAGAAAAGTTTCTTTATGGAGCAATTTTGCAGAGTTTAGTTGGCTAGACACAGGCATCTTTAATGCCAAAGCCATCCAGCGTTGGTCCAAAGTAGCAGTTCAGTGTGTTTTCTCTTCCTGACCCTATCTCATCATTGCTTATGAATCACTGTACATATTCCCTAGTGACTGGAGATGATTTGAGTCCTCTCTGTGTCTCAGATGCAGAGATTGAGAAGGTTGTTTCTTGGTTTGTCTTAATCCCAAGTGACCAAAAGAGTTCATCAGAAAGGAATCACACTGTGGTAAAGAACAGACTGCAGTTCTGCATTTCCTCCCTGGTGTATGAAACAGGAGTTAGTCCAGTACTGGGCACTAGGCCAGGAGCAGCGTGACTCCTTGGCCCTCACAAAGGCCCTTTGCGTTGATCTTGGAGTACAAAGATGATTGATTGAAAACAGCCTAACAAGACAACCAAGAATTCCATCCCACTGGGTGGGAGTCCCTGGCAGGCACACGGATCTGCTCACTTTTAACACCTACAGATCACTTTGGGAGCAAGGGGTATGAAGGAGCAGGAAACAGAGGAGGGCTGGAGCTCTCAGGCCTCTCTGCTTCAGAGGGCAATGTGTGAACTGTAAGAAAGAGAGTGCATTTTATCCTCAATGTCAGAAGAAAAGGTAGCTCTCAATTTTGTAAAAATCGCTTTCCAAATTAAATCTAATCCTCAATTATTTTAATCCTTGGCAACTTTTTAATACAAATTCCTCTTAGTTTGGCTAATCTCCATCTGATCTCAATCTGAAGGTAGGTAATTTATCAGGGGAAGACCATCATGTGCTCAAAGTTTTGAACTTCATAGGAACACCTAAGAGAGCGAAAGAATAAAGCATCTTTGTGCTAACACAATCACGTTAAAATACCTCCTGTGATCTGATCAGAAGCTGCATGCAAGCACCCTTCCAGATTCAAAAGAAAGAAGAGACTTGGACGGTGTGAACTGCTGCCTGAGTCTGAAACAGAAAGCAGATTTTGATAATGCTGCACTGAATGCGGAGCCACCTGTTGAAGCACAACAGTGAAATAGGTGCTGATGTTCCCATGTGTGAGTTTTAAGGCTTGATCCCAAATGGTGTTGAAAGTCTGTACTTTCCCCAGTGCTGTACATTTCAAGATACCCTTTTGCTTGACAAATACAAATTCTGAACTTCCAAGAAGTGCATGCAGAGCCATCTCACATTAAAATAAAATAATAATAATAACTATACACCTAAGACATTCCAGCAGTCAGCAGCCAGAGATGTTGTTTGCACATATGCATTTTTGTTCAGCTCATATAAAGTCTTCCATTTCCTTTAGTACAACTCCTTTTGATTACGAATGTTATTTCTCATGCCGTTTTTAGTAAGACATGTTCAGAAGCTGCTGCCTAAGGCTAGAATATAACTGAAGAAATCTCTTTGTGTTGGCTCTGCTTTGGCAGCCTTGAGAGCTTTCTGAGCAATACTTGTTGCTAGTGACTCTAAAACTGTAGTGGGGTATCCAGTATATAGACATCAATATGTCTGACACCATACCTGCCCTTAAGGACAGAATATTCAAAAATGAATGGTGTGAGCACCTGATCCTTTTGCAAGGAGACTGTTCTGGATGATTCTCCACAGCGAGTCACAATAGCTATCTTCTGCAAGTTTTCTGTTTCCTCAAGTGCTTCTTTCCCCTATTTGCTCATATGAAATTTTCCATTCTCCACTAGAATATAACTCAAAGTTTAAACTCCGAAGTGCTGCAAAAGCCATTTGGAAACTCAGATGGCTTATCCAAGAAGATGTTTGGCTTAGTGGAGATAATAAAAATACAATATATAATATATATTTTTTTTTATATATAGAGAGAGTGAAATATAAACTAAAACAGGATTTCTAGAAATATCTGAGTTTAATGAAAAGGAATTTAATGTAAACAAAATTCTACCTTCACAAGTATGCACTGCTTCATTCCCTTTATACATTATCTCTGCAAGACACAGATATTTTCTGACATATACTTCATTCACTGAGAAATTCTGTCTGGGACCACATTTGTAAAACAGTCTCATCTAGGGAAAAAAAGGAAACCTATTTTGTGTAAAATCTAATTCAACTTTTATGTAAATTTATTTTTACTTTTTCAGGAGGGTAATGCACAGAAGCAAGAGGGAACATTATATCTGAAATTAAATAAAACACTTGTTTAACTCAAAATAAAATTTCAGGGGAAAAAATCTGATTTAAGCTTGGTTACAGAAATGTAATTTATTTGTACAGCTTTCTTTGACAGCACTGCTGAGATCCATGCTCAAGATGGTAGGAAAATTTTCAGCTGGCTGTATTTTCATAATTTTTTTTCAGAGCCAAACTGTTTCCAAGACAGGTTAATTTTAGCAAGGCCCTAGAGAGGTAAGTTTCTTGGATCTTGGATTAGCTGTTTATTTCAGATGAGTGAAAGAAAAGTATCTAAATTCACATAGTTATTGCAATTCCATTTTGAGAAAAGGCTCAGGAATTTTGGACATGGAAAGAAAATAAATTTCAAAATCTGTTCAGCCAGCCAACTGTACTGAAGAGGGCAAGGCTCTGGTAACTCAGTCTTGTTTTGGCCAGAGGAAGATACTTTTCCTGAAATGTGTTTACAGAAACATTTCTAGACATGATCCTTAAAAAAATAGTACCATTTAACTTTTAATAGGTTAGTTAATAGCATGGGCTCACAAATAGATGTATGTTGCTACTGATACACAAGACACTTCAACACTGTGTGCAAACATTGCCTGACAATAGACACAATATATAGACATAGACATAGACATTTGCATACAGCAGGACCCTTTTATTCTGTGGCCATTCCCCTTCACAAGACAGGCTCACTCTCCTTATAGCAGTTTTCACTGACTAAGCAATTCATAGCTTTTTTTTCCTCCTGTGTTTAAATTTCAACCACATTTTGGCATACAGGTAGAGCAGATCTATATTTTCCTCCTTAGATCTAAAAATGATGAAGGGTTAACATACTCCAGCTGGCTGATAGCTTTTGAGAACAGAGTACAAAACTAAGAGGAAGTGAAAGGAGAGGTCGTGTCATTTCCCTCCATGATTAAAATGGGGAAAACCCTCAAGGGACAGTTGCCAAGGGTTTTCTGATTTTCTTCCATTTAATCTTAATCACTTTATAAAGAGTAATAAAAATTGCAGTTTTAGGAGGACCAAGCCTGGCAATTTATTTCCTTCCCCAGAAACTGCCTGTCTTATTCTAGGCCTCAAATCCCCACTCACCAGGTGACATCAGCACCTCTCCTGAGCCCTAAAAACCTCTGGGTTCTCTGTGTTGCAGAGATTATAGAAGAAAGCAGTTGTGTGGTTTGTCCCTTTTTACATGATTCCAACCCAACTACCATGAACTGCAGCTGTGTGTGCACCTGATTTCTTTATACAGCTGATGAGTAAGGAGACTGAGGAATCTTTACAGCACTGCTAATTTGCTGAATTTCAGAGTACAGAGATAGGGTAGTTAAGATGACTGTTAGATTTTACAGTTGCACCTCCCTTGCTGCTGCCAGTCTCATGTTGATATTGCAAAAAAGCTCTGCATTTATCTATTGTGGACCAGCAGAGCCTCCCAAAACTTCTCAAGCCAGCAGAGGATGTTATGGAAATGCTCATTCTTACAACAGTAATGTAAGTGCTGTGAGATCAGTATTCATACACCTAGAGGTCTGTGTTAGTTGGGAGAGCTTTTTATGGTTTATTAAATTGCACCCCAGTTTCACTTGAACTGAGAGTGAATTTTGTGTGCAGTCATCCCTGACGCTCGAGATCTGAGGTTCAGGTGTGCCCAGTGTGTGCAGCCTAACTTACGTGTTCGGGCGTCGGGAATCGCCAGTTAAGGTCGAGGTAGCCTTAGAAGGGTTGCTCACGTGCTCAGCCTTCACAGGTCAGTCATTGCAGAACTGGGATCAGAATGCTTTCCGAACACAGTGAGATGATGATGATCTTGCTTTTCTTGTCATATTTACAGCATTACTCATTCTGTTTCAGATGTTTGTGGCCCTTCTCTTCTGGTACCAGTTCTACTGTGGGTTCTCTGGCTCATCAATGGTTGATCAGTGGTATCTCATCTTCTTTAATTTACTCTTCTCTTCTCTTCCACAACTGATTACTGGTGTGCTGGATAAGGACGTGCCAGCTGAAGTGTTAATTGCTGTACCTCAGCTTTATAAAAGCGGCCAGAATATGGAGGTAAAAAACTTCTTGCTTTTTGTGATTTTTTTTCCTGAACATCTTTAGTTTCAGCTGAAAACCAGCCCTGCTCCCAAAGAGTAGATGGCTGACAAAAACAGTCTGAGAAGTCACTGTTATTATTTCATGGTATTTCTCATCTGAGTCAAATTATCTAAATGCCAAAAGTGTATTTAAAACAAAGAAAAAAACAAACAACAACAAAAAAAATTTTAAAAAAAGGGAAAAAAAAAAAAAACACCAGCTATATTTTGAAATATGCAGCAAGAGGGAAGCTGGATGCTTTCAGTCAGCCTAAGCTGAACACCTCCCTCATGGTCGAGGCTCACAATAACCACAAAAATAACACAGATTATACCTTATAGACTAGTGCAGACTTCCACAGAATAACCTCACATTATACTCAAAACTTAAGTCCCCAGCCTTTTGCAGTCAGAAGAGAATGATGGCTTTAGGAGTAAGCAGAGAGGTTGATAGACTTTGGCTCTGAGGGAGGTAGTCACCAGCAGATGACAGATTCAGCTGAAATATGTGGTGAAAACACCTTGTCCCTATCTACTTGAACTGTTCAGTGAAAACAGAAGGAATTGCAGGAGGGATTCAAGCCAAACAATTTCTGCTTATTACAGCTACAGGGTACTGTGGGAGAACCTTTCTGCTTGGCAGAACTCTACATATTGAGACATTGATTCCAAGGCAAAAGCCTTTCATAAAAGTGTCTGACATTGGGCATTCTGAGAGGAGACAGTGAGTGGTTTTTGTCTCTTAATTTACCTGCATATGGTATCCTACACATCCAGGGATACTGCTAGACACTGTCCTGAAATGATGGAAGGAGAAATTTAGTGCAACTTATTTTTAGTGCTTTATTCCAAATCCTCTCTCTTTCACCCAGCTCTTGTTTTCCATTTATTACATCTCTTCTGTTCTAGTGAACTGCGCTTTAAAGATCTGTAACATTAGTACCTTCCTTTCTTGCATGTTTTTAAGGTGATAGAAATCTTGTAATGGCTTAAGCTTTTTGGGAAGTTGTGTCAGGCTGTCTTCCTCTGCCAAGCTGAGGAGGGAAGTCTCCCAGGTTCACAGTGCAGTTACTTCTCATAGGCAAGCCCAGGGACCATTCTAAGTTTGCCTAAGGACTAGTGAGCATTTTCTCTGAGTAGTTACCTAAAAAGGCATTTTAACAACTTGCTTCTAGTAGGATCTCTTTCAAAAAGATATCACCAGTTCAAGGCCTATGGAATTATACAATAATTTAGCTGGGTTTGGAGGCCATCTGATCCTGACACCTGATCTATAGAATTATAGAACAATAATATAACATCATTGTTGTGGGTCTTTTCAAAGTATGTGTGAATTTTCTGTTTTCTCTCTTGTGAATAAATACCCTGCGCTTGTACATATGTGATGTAAAACACATTTACTCATGTGCTTACACCTCAGAGAGCTCCTCCTGAAATCAGTGGTTTAACTGTAGTGCATAAAGTTGGGCAGCTTCATGAATATTTGCTGGCCTGGGTGTCAGATTGAAATTATGTCCTCTGCCAGGGGAAAAAAAAAAAAAAGAAGAAGCAGAGGAGTCTCCTCCCAGAAGAGAGTTACTTGCAGGTAGACTCTTCATACTTCATCCTCAGGGGTATCTTACCAAATGGCAAAGCTGTGATGCTGTCTCCACAAGCCCTTAAAAGTACCCATTGAAATATTCCCCTCAAAATATCCCAGCAAATGCATTTTTCATTAGACTCTGATTTTCTTTATTTCTTTTATGCCACAGGAGTACCAACCACATATGTTTTGGATGAACATGATTGATGCTATGTATCAAAGCCTGGTTTGCTTCTTTATCCCCTATTTCGTAAGTGGTCTAAGCCATTGTATTTCAAGCACTTTGATTAAAACTGGCAACACAGCTTGGGCTAAAATCTGTCTCCCTCTTTACAGACTTACTATGACTCTGAGGTGGATGTCTTCTCCTGGGGAACTCCCATCACCACAATAGCTCTTTTCACCATCATACTACATTTGGCTATTGAAACCAAAACTTGGGTAAGGTACTCACAGCCTACATAGGAACTCAGTGGCATATGCATAATTCTTTGCTTAGTGCCATTCTTCGAAGCCAGAAGATGGTTGTTTCATTCCCTCAGCACATTCTATTTTTAGCAAGCATTTCAAGCAAACATGAAAAAGGTTTCAAACTGTGATCTGCGAACATCTTTGTACTGTTCTATCTATAATAAGAATTTTTCCAAATACAAGGCTCTGGACTCTTTGCTCTGCATGAATTTGGCTTCAGAAATGACGAAGTTTTAATTTTTTTATTTTGTGCTTTTTTTCTAGACTTTTCTCCACTGGTCGTCTTGCATCTTCAGTATCCTTTTGTTCTTCTTTGTGGCTCTGGTTTACAATGCTTCCTGCCCGGTTTGCCATCCTCCATCCAACCCCTACTGGACTATGGAAAGGCTGATGGGTGACCCTATGTTCTATTTCACGTGCATTATATCACCAGTCGTTGCATTGCTGCCCAGGTATTGTATCTTCCCTGATATCTTTTCTCATATATGAAAGCACTTTATGCTTGTGATCAGGAGGGCAAGAAACATTTCTCTTTCCACTCCCCCTCTTTCTTTCTGCCTTACCAGCCAAGTCAATATTTTTCTGTGGCTGATTATATGAAGTCAGGTTGTCTAACCTCTTCTGTGCTCCTGACCACAGGAACAGGCCACAGCTCCTGGCCATAGACCACAGGAGTGGGATAATTGTACACTGTTGGTCAAACCTCCTGACCATGGAGAGATTTGCTGCCCTGTGAGGTTTTCCGTGATACTTCCAGATGCAATTCATCCTCCCATAACATGCCCAGTACAGAAATTCTAGTAGTATGTTGTGGACTTACTTGCCTGTATATGGATGTAGGAGTCTGCTTTGCAGACTGGTCCCCATTGCCTTTGATTCCTCATCAGGAGAGATGAAAGGCTGTGTGTAATCACAAAGTGGATCACTGGCTAAAGGCACAGATTCATTATGCTGCTTGTTATTAATCAAAATATTAGCACAGCATTGAGAGCTTTTCATCTGCAAGCTTTCTTGTGTCAAGCAAGAGCAGCACCTACATTTTTTCTGTGTTGTACTTTTCCACATTTTCTCTTAATGATGCCTTGGATATTTCCTTCTTTCAGTTCTGTTCACGTGCACGTTCTCCTCCTGCAGATTTCTGTACAGAACCCTCCAGGGAACGCTGTTCCCCACCCAGCTTCAGCTCGGGCGCCAGCTGAGTAGACTGTCCCCAGAGATGCGCACCCAGCTTCTGACCAAGTTGAATGTAAAGGAAGCAACACATCAGACACAGCCCTTTGCAAACAGCTCCTCCCCAAGCCTCGGCCCAAACCCTAATGATTGTTACAAGGCTTATAACCAAAGCACACCTTTGCCAGCATCTCCTCAAGCAAGCGAGTCACTTTTCCAAGAGCACACGAAGGCAGAACATACCAGAGGTCAGACTGTGGCTGCCTCTCCCCAGGGTGCTGTGTTGTATGGGGAAAACAAACGCCCCCCATCAGCAAGTAGTCTGGAAAGGTCCGTGGGATTTCATGAAGTTAGACACAGCACTTCAGAGATGGAGTCACTGCCTGTGGGAGCAACATTCCCCTGGAGCTCAGCGGTCGACCAAACAGACTTCAGTTTGTTGAAGTGGATCACGTCAACTCCGCTGTTCAGCCGCATCGGGGCTGTGTTACAGGTGGCACCAAGCAGTTTACAGAGCGAAACACAGGACAGTATGTGTGTGCTTGGCTCCTCTTTGCATGTGGACTTCGAAGGCTTGAAAGAACAGAGCTCAAATGACTTGCAGGACAAAATGAAAGGGATGCCAGCTGATCATTGTAAAAGTGACAATTGTGAGACCACCTTTTTATGACATGGGCCTTAAATATATTTATATCTTTTCTATTTGCACACATTTATAGTGAGATTACTCTATTTGTTTCCAAAGATGAAACAGAAAATCAAAGGTACAGATTGATTATTTAAGAATGTTTAAATACAGTATATTGAAACAAGAGCTTTAAATATAAAAGGAAACACTTGAAAGTTCCATTTATATTGTTTTATTTTTTCATCTCATTTTGTAAGGAAATGCCATCTCTTCATTTTTCAGAGGCTTCTCTTTTATTCTGACACATACTGTAAAAGCAAAGGACCTAGCTACTACCATATTCAAATGGATTAGATTCAGCAACAATTACTGATATCATTATAGGCCATTGAGTAATCAAGGAGGAAAACCATGATAATAAATAGGCACTGTATTTCATCCATCAGCTGCTTGCCAGGGTATTTTGTCACTGGAGCAAACCATTAGGCAAGACTATCGAATTGTTATACACCTCTCTGTAAATGTTAACAGTATCTTACCACCACATTAATAATACTGGTATTTTATAAGTGACACCACATTTTGATGTTGCAGCCATAGCATTTTATGTGTCATGATAAAGCAATAAATAAATGACCATCCATATTGCAAAGTGACTTCCCAGTCTGGCATTAATAGCAATTCAGCCCTTCCCTTGGAACAGCCAGCCACAGCCTTGGCTGTGGAGCGTGGCCACAGCCACGACTGTCCAGCTCCTGAAGAAAAGCAGTGGGGTGGGCAGCAGGCAGGGTGGAGTTCTGTTAGGCACTGTCCCTATTGTTTCAGGCAGGCTAAATCAAGGCACTGGTGAGAGGAAGGGCCAGGCCAGCTGCAGGGCTGCACA